GCCGGACCTAGAGACGCCTTCCCTGTGGGGGCTGTGCCCCCATCTCCAGCCTCTCACTCCTCCACCCAGCCACGCTCCGAGGAGCCAGGCCAGCAGGCGAGGTGCATGCAGCCCAGAGGCATCACACTCATGGCCCAGCTCCTCCCTGGGCCACGTCTGCCCAGCTGCCAGCACTCACCTAGCTTCAGGAGCCAGCCCTCCCGGTCGGGGTTGAAGAAGGTGTGGGTGAGGTCATTGCCATCATCCTCAGGGATTTTGAAGGGTTCATTCTTGATGCTCTCATACAGATTCTGGTACAACGATACACAGCATCAGCTCTGCTCTGCCCGGGAGCCCAGCTCCTCCCTGGGCCACGTCTGCCCAGCTGCCAGCACTCACCTAGCTTCAGGAGCCAGCCCTCCCGGTCGGGGTTGAAGAAGGTGTGGGTGAGGTCATTGCCATCATCCTCAGGGATTTTGAAGGGTTCATTCTTGATGCTCTCATACAGATTCTGGTACAACGATACACAGCATCAGCTCTGCTCTGCCCGGGAGCCTGCAGCAGGCCAGCTCTGCAGCCCAGCCCCTCTGTGTCCCGACCCTCACCCGGAGCAGCTCCTCAGGTAGGTCGCCCCCATCGTTGATGCCACGGTTCATGGCGATGAAGCGCTCCGCTGTGGGTTTGTCCTTGACATTGGGGTTGTGCAGGCTGGTGTTCAGCATGATGATAGCGAAGGAGAGCACATAGCACGTGTCTACAAGGGCAGAGGAAAAAGTCAGCTGCGAGGCAGGACGGCTGGTGAGAGGGGCCAGGGCAGGCACTCACCTGTGGACTGGAAGACGCCGGGGTTGCACTGGCAGTACCGCTGGGCAAAGGCCTCCATCATCCGATCGATCTTCTGTGCCTCCCCGGGCAGCCGGAAGCTCCACAGGAACTGCCTGTGAAGAGCGAGGCATTGCGCTGCTTTGAGGGCTGCACGCACCCTCCGGCCACGCTCATGTCGCTACAGGCCCCGCCAGCCCACTGCCTGTCTCCCCTGATGGGACACGGCTGAGGTCCTGGCCCCGTTTGCTCACCGCAGGGCCTGCACGAGGTTGAGGTCAGTGAACTCATGCAGCTCCACGAAGGCATGCAGGACTTGGATGTTGAACTCGTCCCTGCGGGAACAAAGCCAGAGCACGAGGGATGCATCATAAGCAAGTCCTGTGACTGCTGAGCAGCCCCATGTCTCTCTGCCCTGCTCCAGACTCTGCTCATTTGTGGGGGGAAACCTGCAGCTACCCCTTGATTTGAGTTCTGGGCTGGTTTGCACATGCCGGCCTCTCACAAGTGCCAGCCATGGACCGAGCAGCCCCCCAGCCGGCCCTGGCACTCAGGGCTCCATGTACCCCCCCTCAGCTGCCCTGTAAGTTCAAAGAGCTGCAGTGTCCCATCTCTCAGGAGGTGAGAGCCCAGGGCACCCTCAGGAGACCCGGGACACCCCAGGCCAGCGTACCTCTCACCCAGGTAGTCACCGATTGCTGTCTTGTTGAGGCCCTCTCCCTTGTAAAGGAACTGAGCAATATCCTCACACGTGTTCTTCAGCAGGTCATTTTCGATCAGGAACTGGATGCCCTGGAGCGGTGCAAGAGGCGCTGCTCTGGGGCTTGCTGCTGACCCCACCAGCCTGCCCGCTGCCTCCCCGGGCCAGCACAGCC